TTTATTCCAGAAAAAAAGGATTAACATTCCCATTTGGGGAGGCAGACAAAGAAATCAAGGGAATGCTCAGCCGGGCAATTCATTATTTAAACAATCCTTTTTTCTCTCTCTCTCTCTCACTATCTGTCATAATTAATCATCCTCCGTTGTTACTTTCCGCTCCCTTTTCCACACTCAAGCTAGCAGGCATCCTTTTCAAAGCAGCCTGCACAGCGCAAAAGCGAGATGCAATGATAAATGCACATTTAGGGGTTTTTTTTAAAGGTGGTTGGAAAAACCGCAAGCATTAGCAGCCCAGACAGGCCTGGCTAAGAATGGAACCGCAACCCGTGTGGGAGGCAGCAAAAATAAAAAAACCCACCTTCAAAGATCATTACCGACACTGCTATTTGCATGGCCAAAAAAAATAAAAATTCTCACTGCGTCCGTCGACATTTCCACCCCCTCAAATAGCAGCTTCAAAGGAGGTGCTTAGAACCGAGCATGGGAAATAAAGGGTTAACCTACCCAACACACACACACACACAAACACACACACACACACACAGCCCTTCCTTCCTGCTGCAAATTTGACATTTAGCTGTCACCTCCAGTCAATGCAAATCATTAGACTAATAACGCAAATATGAACTTCATGCCCTACAGAGTGGGGTCCCAGGGGGGCTTAAAACTCTGCAACGGGGTTGTCAGAGCGATGCTTGATAAGCCCGATGGGGATTGAAGTCCGGTGAGAGATGACAGTTGGATGAGAATCTGGGTTGAATGGCCTAAAGCCTCAGCAACTTTGTGACTTGTGGACTTCAACTCCCAGAATTCCCCTTCCAGTGACGGACATCCCTATCCTAAAGCACTGTGAACTTTCTTTAAAGAGTGGGTTGGATTGGATTGGATTGGATTGGGATGGGATGGGATGGGATGGGATGGGATGGGATGGGATGGGATGGGATGGGATGGATTGGATTGGATTGGAATGGAATGGAATGGAATAGAATGGAATAGAATAGAATAGGGAATGGGAATGGAAGAGAAGAGAGAAAAGAAGAGAAAAGAAGAGAAAAGAAAAGAAGAGAAGAGATTTATTGGCCAAGTGTGATTGGACACACAAAAAATTTGTCTCTGGTTCATAAACTCTCAGTCTAGTTCTTTAGTTTGGGTTTAATGCATTGTAGGAACATAGGCATATCTCTATAAACCACGCTTAAAGAAGCTACGTTTGCTGCATGAATCCAGCCAAACTGTGATGCAGAACAAATCTGCCCCAGATCATTCATAGCAGTGAGATCTTAACCTGATAACCTATTGCTTTTCAATGTCTTAGCACAGTGATGGCTAACCTTTTTATTGTCATGTGCCAAAAACGTGTGCACGTGTAACACTGCGTGCGAGAGCACACCCATAATGCAATGCACACGCGACCACTCCCACCCCCATACACTCCGTCCCTGCGCTGCTATCATGTCACCCCTAGTTCTTCTTTTCTCTAAACTAGCCATACCCAATTCCTCCAACCGTTCTTCATATGTTTTAGTCTCCGGGCCTTTAATCACCTTAATTGCTCTTTTCTGCACTTTTCCCAAAGTCTCAAAATCTTTTCTGTAATGTGGTAACCAAAACGGGATGCAGGATTCCAGGTGTGGTCTTACTAAGGCTTTATAAAGAGATTCTACTACTTCATGTGATTTCGATTCTATGCCTCTGTTTATACAACCAAGGGTTGCATTAGCTTTCTTTAGCCACTTTTGATACTCTGCGCCCCACTCTAGTCTCAAATGAAAATCTTTGAACTATGTACAAATTCAGCATTCCTCTGCAGACAATCAACAACTAACAACATTGTTACAGCATTGACAACCAGTATTTGCGTCCACAACTGTGATCATGTCCTCAGTCACATAATCAAAATTTCAGGTGCTTGGCAATCAGCATATATTTACAATGGTTGTAGTGTCCTGGGGTTATGTCAGGTGTGGGATGCAGCCGGTTCACACCGGTTTGGGCGAACTGGTAGCTTTGATAATCAGGTGGGCCTCGCCCACCCCTGCATTTTACTTACCTATATCCTCTTAGCTGATTTGTGTGGCAGAGCAGATTGCTGTTTCTCAGCTGTGTTACTTCCCAGAAGTAACGTGGAACGTTAAGTTTTGTTAAAACTGCACAAGCACACAACGCGCATCAGGCGCGGGCACACACAGAGCACTTGTGCACGAAGCACACAATCATCGAACTGGTTGTTTAACCAGCAGGATCCCACCACTGGATCATGTGTTCATCATTTCCTCACCAGCTTCCAACAAGCAAGGTCAATGGGGGAAGCACGATTTGCTTAACAACTGCAGTGATTTGCTTAACAACCATATCCCCCCCCAAAAAAAGGTTGAAAAAAATCTGGTAGAACTCACTTAACAACTGCCTTGCTTATCAACAGAAATTCTGATCCCAACCGCTGTTATAAGTCAAGGACTTATAAGTAACTGTGTTGTTCATTAAAGTAGCTTCCTTTTTCAGCTAACTACAGGTAGCCCTCAACTTGTATGTTGCTGAGTGATAAATGTGTTAAGTGAGTTTTGCCTCATTTTACAATTGTTCTGCCATGTTTGTTAAGTGAATCATTTAACAGTTGTTAAATAGGTAACACGGTTGTTAAGGGAATCTGGTTTCCCTCTTGACTTTGCTTGTCAGAAGGTCGCAAAAGGGGATCACGGGACCCTGGGACCACTTCAACCATCATAAATGTGAATCCATTGCCAAGCATCCAAATGCAAATGAAGTGACCATGGGGATGCTGCAAGAGTCATAACTATGAAAAAATGGCCGTATGCAGGAGTGGGCTGCTACGGGTTCGTTTGGGTTTGGGAGAACCCGTAGCTAATGTTAGGGCTGGTTCAGAGAACCTNAGGAAGGAAGGAAGGAAGGAAGGAAGAGAGAAAGAAAGGACGGAAGGAAGGGGAAAGAGAGGGAGGTAGCAGGAGAGAGGGAGGGAGAGAGGAAGGAAGGGAAGGGAAGGGAAGAAAAGGGAAGGAAAGGGAAGGAAGGAGGATGAAGGAAGGAAGAATAGAGAAAAGGGGAGGAAGGAGGGAAGGTGGCAGGAGGGAGGGGGAAGGAAGAAAGAGAGAAAGAGAGGGAGGGAGGAAGGGAAGGAAGGGGAAAGAGAGGGAGGTAGCAGGAGAGAGGGAGGGAGAGAGGAAGGAAGAGAAGAGAAGGAAAGGAAAGGGAAGGAAGGAGGATGAAGGCAGGAAGAATAGAGAAAAAGGGAGGAAGGAGGGAAGGTGGCAGGAGGGAGGGGGAAGGAAGAAAGAAGGAAAGAGAGGGAGGGAGGAAGGGAAGGAAGGGGAAAGAGAGGGAGGTAACAGGAGAGTGGGAATGTTGACTTTTTAGGTCTCCAAAAAGAGCCCAGCATGTGGCAGGGAACCAGGCCTGTGAAGGACTCACCTAATGTCTTCATCCGTAACAATGAAGGCTTTGCAGAGAGGCTGCGACGTGTTTAACCACACCGCTGGGTTTTTTTCCACAGCGGCTGAGAGCTGTCCTGTGATGGGTGCCGAACTCGTGTGCAATGCGCTGGCCACCGCCGACAAGAGGGTGTCGTCACTGTTCCCGGGGCCCACTCCTAGAGAGCGAATGCAAAAGTGGCTCATTAAAACACGGCATATTCAGAGGGCCAGATTCGCAATAAAAAAATGCCCAATAAGATCTCGGCCCCCAAGACAACGCTTAGAGTGAGCTCCGTTTGTTAACAAGCAAATTCTCCCTATAATTAGGGGAGGGCTGCAGGGGGTTCGCAGGGGGTTCGGGAGAACCTCTAGCTAAGATTCTGTGCAGTTCAGAGAGCCCCGAAATCCCACTCCTGGCTGGCCCCACCCACCCCACTCCTCCCAGAAGTCCCCACACGGCTCATTTTGGATGCAGGTAAATGCAGGATGCACATGGATGCTCACGGAGGGCAGAAAATGGGCCTACCGGAAGTTCAGGAAGGGCAGAAATGGGCCTGTTTCCAGCCGGCAGAGGGCCTCCGGAGCCCGGGGAGGCCGTTTTCACCCTCCCAGAGGCTCAAGGAAAGCCTCCGGAGCCTGGGGAGGGCAAAAACTTCACCCCTATTGTGGTGCAGGAGGCCAACTAGGCCACGCCCACCCAGCAACCAGGCAGAGAACTCCTTGCTAAAATTTTGAAGCCCACCCTTACTTGTAATTGATATAATGCAGGTAGTCCTCGACTTACAAGCCCAGGGAAATCCAACATTTCTGTCACTAAGTGAGACAGGTGTTCAGTGAGTTTTGCCCCATTTTACGACCATTCTTGTCACCATTGTTAAGTGAAATCACTGCAGTTGTTAAAGTAATAACATGGTTGATAAGTGAATCTGGCTTCCCTCACTGACTTTGCTTTTTTAAAAGGTGATCACATGACACCCCCCCCCCAGGACACTGCAACCGTCATATATACTTATAAAGTATATACTTATAAAGTATACTTATAAAGCCCTTCATGGTATTGGACCTGATAAAGCCCTTCATGGTATTGGATCATGGTAAAGTATACTTATAAAGCCCTTCATCAGGGGTGGGTTTCAACCGGTTCGCGGCGGTCCCTGCGAACCAGTTGGTCGCCGAACCCGGAAGTAAGTAACTTCCGGGAACAGCGAAGGGCCCGGCCCGCCCGCCCGCCCGCGGTACTTACCCGGTTTTGACGAGTTCTGTGCCGCATGCGCAGGACGCATACAGCATCTGCGTGATCGTCCAGGAGCAGCTGGAGCATCGCGCAGACGCTAGTACACATGCGTGCACCACGCGCGTGCACGAGGACGCCGCCGGCCCCGTTCCAACCGAACCGGTTGGAACGGGGCGAGAAACCCATCCCTGCCCTTCATGGTATTGGACCTAGGTACTTGAGGGACCGCCTGCTGCCAATTACCTCCNATGGCACATCATTACTTCTCTCTGAGGGTTACATATTCATGTGTCTGGCTAGGTCAGGGGTCGGCAACCTTATACACTCAAAGAGCCACAACAGTCCTAACCGGAAGCCTCCTGCTCAATTCTGGAGCCGACTGGAAGTCCGGTTCCCCCACCATAGAGTCTCCTTCTAGCACAGCATCCTTTTTCCTTTTCCTGACGGGCAATAGGGAGCCACAGCAGAGGGATGAAAGAGCCACATGCGGCTCCAGAGTCGTGGGTTGCTGACCCCTGGGCTAGGTTCTGTTTCCATAAGACCTCTGAAGGTTTGCAACCCCCGCTTCTGATTGGGTCTATTTTGAAGGTGAATGAGGCTGCCTGTTTACTTCCAAAATCTTTTTTTTTTTTACAGGAAGCTATCTCTTTCCATATCAGATTGTAATTATTTTTTGTTAAAACGTCTGAGTGAAAATTCCTACCCTTTTCTTTCTTCGCTTTGCAAAAAATATCAAAATATCCAACATTTGGGGGAGTGGGCATTTTATTGCTCAGCTTTCGCCTAACAAACACCATGCTTGTTTACCCAAAGCCCAGCATCTCACAATTTGAAAACTTCAAAGGCTAGTATTTAAACAGGCACTTAAGAATAATCTCAACCCCAAGATTAATAAATATCTGAAATCCGGGTATCGGTATTTTGAAAAGAGAGGGAAACGGAGCTAAAGAAGCTAACCATTCTTAAAGGAGCACATTTCTTGCAGCAATTACCACGAGATCAGCAGGAAATCAATCACAGATAGCAGTAATAAAAGATGATCTGAGTCTTAAAAGCTAGAGGTAAATGGAGCATTTAAAAAGAAAAATGCAAGCATAATCAAATTGGACTTGGAGGTGCAAGATTGGGAATATGCCCTCTCATAACTCCTAAGGCATGCTCTGCTGATTTACTTCTTTGTTTATGAGCCATCCCGAAGTGAACGTTGTGTCAGCAAAAGCTGGGAAGGAAGGAAGGAAGGAAGGAAGGAAGGAAGGAAGGAAGGAAGGAAGGAAGGAAGGAAGGAAGGAATAATAGAGAAAAAGGAAGGAAGGAAGGGAAGGAAGGAAGGAGAATGAAGGAAGGAAGAATAGAGANTTATTTGTCAGTCATGTACAAGATAACAGGCGTAAGAATAAACATGATTATGAATACAGGAAACGGATAGGAATAAATGGGGACAGTAGGACAGGGATGTTAGGCACGCTGGTGCGCTTAGAAATGGGGCGAGGTCAACAGTAGACAGTTTAAGGTTAAAGTTATGGGGGTTTGAGGATGTAACAATGGAGTCAGGTAGAGCATTCCAGGCATTGACCACTCTGCTGCTGAAGTCGTATTTTCTGCAATCGAGTTCAGAGAGATTTACTTGGGGTTTGTACCTTGTGTGCCCGTGAATTATTGAGGCTGAAGCTGAAGCAGTCATTGACAGGTAGGATGTTCTCATATATAATTTTGTGTGCTATGCTTAGGTCAGATGGTAGGAGACGAAGTTCTAGGTTGTCAAAGGTCAAAATCCAAGCTTGGTGGCATAATTTTAGAAGTGAAAATAGCACAGTAACAGAGTAGCAAATTTGGTATATCGGAAAACACCAACAGGGTATTTTGAGGTCTGAAAGGCTTATCATCATTACCATACTATCACTATAGTTATTCCACGGTGGACTGAAAAACTGAAACTAACACCTCCAATGCAGAAACCTAACCTGATGCTGCCTGCAGAAGTTCCCCTCCTACAATGTGATATCACAAGTACAGGGATGAGGTCCAAACTTTAGAATGTCTCAGCAGCTGAACCATTAATGATATCACACCTTGGTGTGGATTTGAATCATCAACTACCAGAGAGCAACAGTGGTAGTTGATGATTCAACTTTGGCTGAAAAGCAGAGGTCGCTGGAGGAGGAACAGTTTAAAAACTAAAACATGGTGAAAACCCAGAAAACCTACTAACAAACTAGCAGAAGTGCTATTTCTCCCCAGTTGCTCCATTCTTTTGACACTGTCTCTCTCCATAGAAGATCGAATCATAGGGCTGGAAAGGAAACTGGGGGTCTTCTAGTCCAACCCTCTGCTTCAAGGCCGGAGACCTTACACCATCCCAATCAAATGGTTGTCTAATCTCTCCTTGAAAACTTTGGAGGACCCACAATTCCGGGAGGCAGGCTACTCCATTAATTGTTCTTACTGTCAAAAAAATTCTCCTTACTTCTAGGTTGTAACTGTCTTTAACAAGCTTCCACCCACTGTGCCAGGAGCCACAGTGGCACAATGGTTAGAATGCAGTACTGCAGGCTACTTCTGCTGACTGCCAGCTGCCTGCAATTTGGTAGTTCGAATCTCACCAGGCTCAAGGTTGACTCAGTCTTCCATCCTTTCGAGGTGGGTAAAATGAGGACTCAAATTGTTGGGAGCAATAGGCTGACTCGGTAAACTGCTTAGAGAGTGCTGTAAAGCACGCAAAGCGGTATATAAGTCTAAGTGCTATTGATATTGCTATTTCTTACATCAAATCTCATAGAATCATAGGGCAGAAGGGACATTGGAGGTCTTCTAGTCCAGTCCCCTGTTCAAGCAAGAGACCCAATACCATTTCGGACAAATAGTTATCTAATCTCTCCTTGAAAACTTTGGAGGACCCACAATTCCTGGAGGCAGGCTACTGCAT